TCTGGTTTGGGAACTAACACAATAGGACTAGACCAGTCACTATTTGTCTCCTCTATAACCCCCAGTTCAAGCATATTTTTATTTCTTGGTGAATTGCTTCTTGCCGAGCTTTTGGAATACGGTAGGGTTTCAATTTGACCCTTTCTCCTGGAGGGGTAATAATGTAATGCTCAATCCCAGACACCCACCCAGGAAATGCTGAGAATTTTTCTTTATTGCAGAGCACAAATTCTTTAACTTCCTGTTGCTGCGTTTTTGATATAGTCTCTGCTACCCCGACCTCTGGGACGTCCAAGGTAGGCAGAGCAAGAATCGTGGAAGTTTCAGCAACCAAGGATTCCCTATCCTTTCAGGGTTTTAGCAAATTCACATGGTACACCTGCTCAGGTTTTCGCCTTCCTGGTTGGCTAATTTTATAATTCACATCCCCCATTTTTTCCCAACACTTCATATGGACTCTGCCATTTGGCCAGGAATTTACTTTCAACCGTGGGGACCAACACCCTATCTCGAGGTGAAAAAGAACGGATCCGAGCTCCACCGTTGTAAATTCTTTGTTTAGCCAACTGGGCTTGAGTCATATGTTCCTTCACAATATGCATTACTTGCATAATTCTGTCTTGCATTTGGGCCACATGTTCAATTACACTTCTATGAGAGGAACTCTCACTCTCGCATGTTTCCCTTGCAATGTCCAATAACCCCCGTGGGTGTCTCCCATACAGCAGTTCAAAGGGAGAGAACCCTGTGGACGATTGGGGAACCTCTTTAATTGCAAACATTAAATAATGTAGTAGACAATCCCAATTTTTTCCATCTTTAATCGACCACCTTCTTTAACATTTGTTTTAATGTTTTGTTAAACCTCTCTACCAACCCATCTGTGATACACTGAAGTACAGAGTTGGTCACCTTCAGAAGTTTGCAAAGTTCTTTAGTTACCCTAGACATAAACGGGGTGCCCTGATCAGTTAGTACTTCTTTGGGAAGGCCAACACGGCTGAAAACCTAAAATAGCTTTTTGGCAATTGTTTTAGCAGAGGTGTTTTGGAGAGGATTTGCTCTGGGTAATAATCCATTGTCACCAAGATGTGTTGGTGCCCTCTAGCGGACTTTAGCAAGGGGCCAACCAAATCCATGGCGATTCTCTCAAAAGAGACCTCAATGATGGGCAGGGGAACCAAAGGACTGCGGAAATGTGGCATTGGGGCAGAAATCTGACACACTGGACTGGAAAAACAGTACATTTCTACTTCCTTAGTGATCCCAGGCCAATAGAACCTCTGTACGATTCACTTTCGGGTTTTTTCATCTCCTAAATGTCCCCCTAGAATGTGCCCATGGGCCAGTTCTAAGACCAATTTTGGTAAGATTTAGGCACCACCAGTTGTTCTATGGTTTCCTCCGCCCTCTGACACCCGGTATAATAGGTCCCTTTCTATGATGAAGTATGGGAGAGCAATCCTCTCGTCAGGATTCACTAATTCCCCGTCTATTTTTACAACATTCTCTCGGGCCCTTAGTAATTTAGGGTCCTTCAATTGTTCAGTGGCAAAACTTTCTCTGTGTACTTCAAAGTCATCAAACACTAGAGGTTTCTGTTCCACTTCTAAGGTTGTAGTCTCTTCCCTAGACCCTGTTTCCCCTGCTAATACTGACAAGGGAAACCCTCACCTTCAGAGGATTTCCTAGGAGAACCTTCAGGCTCTGAAGGACTGTTCAATGGGAAATCTGGGCCATTCCAGAGCTCCCAGAATTTTGGGAAATCCCTTACCACAATGGCGTCATGTGGTAGTTGGGGAAGCAGACCCACCTGATGGCACAGGTTACCCAGGGAGGTCTCAAAGGACACTGTTGCCACAGGATACTCTTGAGTGTCCCCATGAACGCAAATGACTGCCTGTTTTCTAGATTGCAAGGTTTTTTTCCGTTACCAGTTCAGTTTTGACCAAGGTAACCAGGCTACCTGAATCCAACAACACAATAACATTTTTACCATAGATACACATTTAGCATAAAGGTTTCTCATTTCGCTTTAAAGTAAGAGTTGCAAATAGGGACTGCCGTCTCTCTGTAAGAAAGTCACAGTGCATTAGTTCATCAGTACTTGGGCAATCTGCTGCTATATGTCCCTCTTCCTGGCAACGGTAACAAATTATCCTTCTGATAACTTAATGCAGGCTTTGCCTTCCAGGCCGCTCTCACCAGACATTAGAAAAAGTCCCCAAAGTACCTTTAGTTCCCCCTTTTCAATTCTCTCCACCCCCACCCCTGGTGCAATCTTACCAATAGCTGGGGATAATCTGGACTTGGGGTGGAAAGTCTGTGAGTCCTTGAGGGAAGACGTAAGTTGCTAGATACCTCTCCACAAGGTCCACAAGCTTGTCTGCTGTTTCCGGATCTCCATGACTCACCCATTTTTGCAAGGTAGTAGGAAGAGACCTCAGAAACTTGTCCATAACCACCCGTTCCACCATCTTTGGTCCAGACAGTGTATCTGGCTGCAACTATTTCCTGGTCAAATGAATCAGGTCATACATTTGGGATCGGGGTGGTTTTTCCAGTCGATAACTCCAGTTGTGTACCCGATGAGCCCGGACAGCCAGGGTTACACCCATCCGTGCCAAAATTTACATTTCCAAATGATCATAGTTCTTGGCTTCCTCAGGCTCAAGGTCAAAATAAGCCTTTTGGGACTCATCAGATAGTAGGGGGGCCACTAGTCTAGCCCACTGTTCTTTAACCTCCCTGGCGGTATGATTATTTCAGATTTTTGGTGCTGAAAGCGGTACCATTTTTTTGCATGGAAATATGTATTTTTTTTATTGTAGGCTGTAATTTTTAGGAAAAACTCACTGAAATCTGTCCGAACAAGAGTCTAGTAAACATCCCGGGTATGATAAAATTTGAAACACAAAATCATAAATTATAATTTAATAAATAATCATAAAAATAATATAAAAATAATAAAAAATTTAATTCAATAATATAATCAAACCAAAAAACACTGAAATGTGAAATAGAGCGCCAAGTTCGCACATCGCTGAGCTCAGTCGCAAAATCGTTTTCAGTTTCTGATGACGAATTTCCCCCACAATCATTATCACTCAATTCTGCAAGTGGTTCTGATTTACTATTGCTGTTCTCTAGCTGATCTAAACCGCTTTTGACCTAAAGGGACACTTTTTGGACGCCATGGACATTTCTCAGTTTCCAGGCAGAAAGAACAGACAAAATGCAGGCAGGGCGCCGGACAAAGCACTCGGGACAATATGTATGTGAAATAGGTTGAAACAGCAATGTTTTACTGTGTAAAATGAAAAAAAAAAAAAATGACATTTTTTTTAAAATTTTTAAATTTCCCGCCGCCGGCGGCGGCGGCGCCCGTACGTCCCGACGTCACAGGGACAGGACACAGAAGCCGGATGCCGGCATCGGCCGGAGGAGATGGCTGGGGACGCTGCAGGGGACACATCGTGGGAGCGCAGGGTAAGGTAAGTGAAGAACACATGCCGGAGCAGCGCCGCATGGTAAGCCCGAGTGTAGCTCGGGGTTACCGCTTTTGGTACTGAAATGTTACCCCGAGCTACACTCGGGAATACCGCCAGGGAGGTTAAGCCAACTTTTTTTTTCAGCTGTCCTTTCAAAAGTGGACAGAAACATCTCAGGGTCATCATCTGCAGTCATCTTTGGCAGCAGGTGACTTACACAGAAAGATGGTATGGTAGTAGAATCATTCCCAGCCTCAGTCTGCTGCCTCTGCTGAAGCTGTTTCATGATGGCCGCAATTTGCTGTTGGTGTATCTGTTCCTGCCGTTACAGCAATTCCCTATGGCGGGCCTCCATCTGTTCCAGGGCTTGCTGCTGGGCTGCAAAGCTCTGTTGCAAAACTTGCTGCTGGACTGCAAGGCTCTGTTGCAAACTTGCATTTGTTTGCTTCTGATTTGCATGTGCTTGCTGCTGATTTGCATTTGCCAAAGCAAGCTGTCTAAGGATCTCTTCTATGCTGGTCTTACTTCACCTGCCCCGCAAACCTCCACCATATGTGAGGGATTAGCCCAGTAGCGGGTTGTGCTTGATCCCCTGGATGAGTCAGAGCACGGTGAAAAAGGCTCAGCATGACAGCAGAATCTTGGGGAATACAGTTATGCTTTATTTACAACAGAACCGGATATCGTATGTACTCTCCAGCGCCTCAGGATATGCACAGCCAAAAGGGGGAAGCCAAGGGTACCAGGACAGCGACAACCAAAGGAAATGCTTCAGGGGTGCAGCCCTCCTCAGACGGGGAAATCAGCCACTGGATAGAGAGAAAACAGGTGGCGCACACACCTAGTGCATTATCCAAGGTTTATTGTAGGAGTGAAAGAATAATAAAAACATACTCACAGACAAAGCATGTATCTAAAAAGCATAGAAAAATGACAGTGGCCACAACGGCAGGCAAGGTGTTCTCACTGTCAGTGCGGACAAATGGCTGACGCGTTTTGGGGATGAATCCCTTTCCTCAGAGCTGATGACCAACCTGGCAAGACCTACATACAACAGATGGAGTGCGGGAAAGAAAGCTTTCCCTTTCATAGGTCATGAGTAATACATTCCTGTACCATGCTCCCAGCCGGGATCCCTTTCACCGTCACACCGGAGGGTACCGGGCACACAACATGAGCTCCAACCCCAACAGCTCATGGAGCTGTTTTTGATTTACAGATTTACTCTCACCACAGTAATTTTTGGTTGCTCCCCAGTCTGTCCTGCACAGTAAACTGGTTCCAGGTTGGAGCATTCTTTCTAAGCAGCCTGGGAGTTTTATAGAGCCCAGAGCCCTTAACTCACTGCAGCTGAGCTCATGAAATCATCAGTGAGCCAGACAGGCTCACTACACAGCACAAAAGAAGAAACAGTCGGTGAAGAGCATGAACCTGGTACAAATATACTTACCATCCTAGACACACCCCTTAGTTCTTCCTGCCTTCCTGTCACAATATATACATATATACACACTATATTGCCAAAAGTATTGGGACACCCCTCCAAATCATTGGATTCAGGGGTTCCAGTCACCTCCATGGCCAAAGGTGTATAAAATTAAGCACCTAGGCTTGAAGACTGCTTCTACAAACATTTGCTCAGTAAATTCAAGCATGGTACGTGATATGTTGCCACCTGTGCAATAAGTCCATCCGTGAAAATTCCTTGCTACTAAATATTCCATGGTCAACTGTTAGTGGTATTATAACACACTGGAAGCAACTGGGAGCAACATCAACTCAGCCACAAAGTGGTAGACCATGTAAAATGACATAGCGGGATTAGCGCATGCCGAAGCGCACAGTGCGCAGAAGTCGCCAACTGTCAGCAGAGTTATTAGCTAAAGACCTCCAAACTTCATGTGGCCTTCAGATTAGCACAACAACAGTGTGTAGAGAGCTTCATGGAATGGGTTTCCATGGCCAACCAGGTGCATGCAAGCCTTACATCACCAAGTGCAATGCAAAGCGTTGGATGCAGTGGTGTAAAGCACGCCATCACTAGACTCTAGAGCAGTAGAGATGTGTTCTCTGGAGTGATGAATCACACTTCTCTGTCTGACAATCCAATGGACGTGTCTGGGTTTGGTGGTTGCCGGGAGAATGGTACTTGCCTGACTAAATTGTGCCAAGTGTAAAGTTTGATGGATGGGGGGATTATGGTGTGGGGTTGTTTTTTCAGGGGTTGGGCTTGGCCCTTTCATTCCAGCGAAGGGAACTCTTAAGACTCCTAGATTGTAAGCTCCAACGAGCAGGGCCCTCCTATCACTCTTGTATGGAACTGTATTGTTGCTGTATTGTCTCCCTTTATATTGTAAAGCCCTGAAACTGTTGGCTCTATATAAATCCTGTATAATAATAATAAGGTGTCAGCATACCAAGACATTTTGGACAATTTCATGCTCCCAACGTTTTGGGAACAGTTTTGGGGATGGCTCCTTCCTGTTCCAACATGACTGCACACCAGTGCACAAAGCAAGGTCAATAAAGACATGATGAGCGAGTTTGGGGTGGAGGAACTTGACTGGCTTGCACAGAGTCCTGATTTCAACCCGATAGGAACACCTTTGGGATGAATTAGAGCGGAGACTGCGAGCCAGGCCTTCATGTCCAACATCAGTGCCTGACCTCAATTATGCTTTTCTGGTATATACTAATATATTAAGAATGGTATATATATATAATTCCCATACAGTCATGGCCGAAATTGTTCGGCACCCTTGATTTTTATCTGAAAATCACTCCAAAACCTTGTGGACAGTCTTCTCAGAAGAGTTAAAGCTTTTGGATAACATGAACTGAAAATCAGTCGCTTCCCTATAACCATGCACTAAAGCTGCAAAGGGTGGGCCAACTGCTTTTTGAAATGTTTTTGGGTCATTGAACCCGCAATACCCACAGACGACCCAAAATCCTTTGGTAGTGGGGGCTCCTCTTAGAATTCATGATTGCGGGGTTGGGCACACAGTCAAGCGGGGCACACGAGTGCGACTGGATGACACTAAAGTTCATGTGCGTGTAAAGGAGATAGGAGGAGTTCCGCATTAGATTAATAATGGCATACATATACACATATATACAGTATATATATATATATATATATATATATACTGTACATTTTTCTTTCCTCTAAAAACATGTGACCACATTTTCACCTCTTTCCCTTCTATATATTATGTCTCTGGGAATGTGCACCCCTGATAGTTACTAAGGTATTGCATTAGAAGACATAGCATTATTAAAGTGATTGTACACCGTTTTTTTTTTTTTTAAATAGCCAACACTTCATACTGACTTGCTCTGTTCAATGGTATTGCACAGAGCAGCCCTGATCCTTCTCTTCTTGTGTCCCCCTCCGAAGTGCCTGGCTCTTCCCTCCCACCAAGTGCCCACCATAGCTAGCTGCTTGCTATGGGTACACTGTGTGTCCATAGACACACAGAGCACACCTCTGACCCGCCTCCTGCTCCCTCTTCACTGACTGTGATTGACAGCAGTGGAAGCCTTTGGCTCTGAGACATTGGTTAGGGAGAGGGGAGAGAGCCTCGGCTCCCATGTACAGCGGTAGATTGAGATCGGGCTCAAGTAAGTATAAGCTTGGGCTAGGGTGGGAGCTACAATAGGAAGGTTTTTTTGCTTTAATGCAGAGAATGCATTAAGGTAAAAAAAAAAACTGTAGCCTTCAAAACTGCTTTAAATAAAACGTAAAGTGCATGTACAGTAACTCACATTTAAAAAAATGTATTATTACTTAACTTAATAAATCTGATTGGTTGCAATGCAGCATGTCCTGTGGGGCCAGAAGAGGCTATGAAAAATTTGGCACAGAGTACAGTTATGCAAGGACTGGCTGCAAAAAAAGTTTTACAGGTAGGCAGGACCTATTCATTTTGAAAACCTATATTTTACTTTACTAGCTGGTCTCTTTATTTATAGCATAGCCGTGCTTTGCCATGCATTGTTGTATAATACAAAGTGATTGATAATAATGGCATGGCTAAGTTACGTGATTTGCACTATATCCCTAATAGATCTAGTATGTCACATACACCATTTTTTGTCATTGTGCTTTAATCAGAGCTGTCAGCAGGAAAAAGACAGAGCTCTAGTCCTCTCTATACAGCGCACCTAATCATCTACTGGCGGCTGCTATAAGCACAGGAAGAATTGCTGGCACAAACCACCTTAACCACCACTGGGAATCAATACAGTAGTCCCATTCAGTCATCACTTCCACTTCTTCAATCCTGATAAATAAAAAAAAAATGGTACGCAATTGTTCAACAAGCTACTTTATCTTGCTTTATTGCTATAACCTTCAATTCATGCTCATCTCCTTAAAATAACTATATGCTGAATACGGAGAGGAAGAAGAGAAAAAAAACATGACACTTATTATTCTACAGCTGCTAACTCCCAGGAGCACAAAACAAGGCAGATTTAGTGATTACACTGGGCCCGTTCCTCTCTCAGTAATAGAAATTATTGGAAGATGATTCATTAGTTTGAACAAAGTCAATTCTGTTCTACAAAAGAGGAATCATCCTTCCCACGGAGGGACTATTTGCCAGCTTTTTCTTTTTTTTTCCCCAAACCATATGGTAATTTCAACCTACGTTCATGATCATCCTGTTTAACTCTTAAAGTAAAAGGCTGGTTTAATGCCTTTAGAATAATGTGTTAGAATGCATAATAAAAGAGTTGTGTTTTATAATGAGTCTATTCAACATTTATTCTCTATTTCTGGAATATGTAGTTGGCAACAGGAGTTAGCAAGCTAAGCTCATGGTGTAACGACTGGCTCTTGGTCAGAGGGAGGGGAATTGTAGAAAACGGCAAGGACATAGGAGAAGTATATTTCTTGGGTGCTGGAAAGGGGGATAGGCAGCCTAGTACTGCAAAGCAAAGCAAATAATACTATTAATAATCTTAATACCATGGCTTTACCTGTCTCTAATACCTGGGAGAACATTATGGGAATCAGGCAGGAGGGGAAAGAGGAATCCCATAGCAGGCCCCCTGATCCCATAGTGGTTGTGTCAGTTGCTATAATGGCTGTCCTGCATTGTTTAGGCCTATATATACTGTATATCTGGAGATGAGGATATTTTTAAATGTTGTCTCCATTAGTGACTCACCATCTACAGTCCTAAAATCTGTTGGTCATGTTTTCCAGATTCACTAGCATTTCTTCCTTTCTTTTTTGGCTTATTTTATAAAAATTAAAAAAATGTAGCCTCCCCCTTACTAATGATACCTGATCAACAGAGCAGTCACACAGACTGGCATTCATAGAGCCCTTCCTCTAAGCTGTCTTAAAAGAACTTTGCTTAACCCATGCCCTATGCCCTAATCCTTCCCTTTCATTTCCACCCACAACTTTGTTTGGCAGTGGTGCAACCATGTACATCCGCAAAATGTACATGTACTTTTCAGTTTCTCCCATTGCAGTCTATGGAGCCAAACCTGCACTATGCTGCAACAAAAAAAGACCCTGCACCCCACAAAAACCCCAACCCCTTAAAAAATCACACTGCACCATGTTGCATTGATATGAACAAGCACCATGGAGAATAATGTGATTTACATTGCAGTGCGCCCCAGATGCAGGGGAAATTGTACTAGCGTGCACAGGGCCTTACTGCCAATTCAGACCTCCAAAAGTCACATTTATTTAGCAAGTGATTTCTGATTAGACAGTCTAAGGCATCCATACTGTAGTTCATTGAAAGCAGCCATAATTAGAATAAACAGAAGAGGAATGCAATGATGATAGTGTAATATGTTGCATCACTGCTGCTCTGTGTAAAACCACTGCACAGAGCAGGTGAGTAGGACATGTTTGTTATTAAAAAAAAAAACAAGACCTTAGCATCACTTTAATGTTAAATGCTCCTTGGTTTTTTAAAGCTAAACGCGGGGAGTTGGTCAAAAGTGAGTAGGAGAAGACAGATGTATTAACCACTTACCCCCTTTTACTCCCTTCTTGACCAGGCCATTTTTTGCTATTCGGTACTGTGCTACTTTAACTGGCGATTGCATGGTCATGCAACACTGTTTCCAAATGAAAGTTATATTGGTTGGTGGTATTTGGTCACCACTGGGTTTTTCATTTTTTTATTATATAAAATGAAAAAAATACTGAAAATGTTGAAAAAAAACCCCAATCTTTTCTAGTTTCTGTTAGAAAACATATTTTCTTCATACATGTATTCTGCTACATGTTTTTGGTAAAAAAAAAAATCCCAATACGTGTATATTAATTGGCCTTTGTGTGTTTCAAACTATGGTATTATATATATATATATTTATATATATTTATATATACATATATATATATATATATATATATATATATATATTTATGTATATATACATATACACTGCTCAAAAAAATTAAAGGAAAACTTTTTAATCAGAGTATACAACTCAGTTAAACTCCTGTGATATTGATCTGGTCAGTTAAGTAGCAGAGGGGGCTGTTAATCAGTTTCAGCTGGTTCAGTGTTAATGAAATTAGCAACAGGTGCACTACATGGACAACAGTGAGATGAGCCCCAAAACAGGAATGGTTTTATAGGTAGAGGCCACTGATATTTTTTCCCTACTCATCTTTTCTGACTGTTTTTTTATTAGTTTTGCATTTGGCTAGGGTCAGTGTCACTACTGGTAGCATGAGGCGATACCTGGACCCTACAGAGGTTGCACAGACAGTTCAACTCCTCCAGGATGGCACATCAATACATGCCATTGCCAGAAGGTTTACTGTGTCTCTCAAGTCTCAAGATCATGGAGTAGATTCCAGGAGACCGGCAGTTATTCTAGGAGAGCTGGACAGAGC